TCAGTTAGTGATGGTCGCCATCTTGGAATGTGTAAAGTACAGACCGGAAAGCGGAATGAAAATCCGGAATTGTTGTTTTTAAGGAAGAAGGGCTCAAATAAAAATAAAAGTAACTATTTAAACATAATATTACCCCCCCCCCCCCCTCCCCCCTTTGATAAGGAATTATAAGGTATTATATTAGCGTGTCCGGCTTGAACGTTCGTTGCAAATGAAACATATCATCTGAAAAAATTTCTGGGGAGAACCCTGGGCCACTTGTTTGTTATATCCAAAGTTAACATGGAACCTCATATAATTTGTATAGTGCAATGATATTTTTACAAATACACAAGGACATTGCAGACTTATATCAACTTGTAACGTGTCGAGTAAGCCATTCATGGCTGGACACATTTTGTATAAATGTTGTACACGTACTGTTGTATTGTAATATTTGTAATTGTTTAGTATGTGTTTGATTTGTAAATACAAATATCATTTGATTTATTCATTCGTTTAATATGGACTATAATCCTTTCAACAGCATTCTTTTTTCAGCATAGTGATTTAAGGGAAATGCCGTAAAATAACATGTATTGATCAAGTAGTCAAGGAAGATACAATCGTTTAAAACATATTACTGTCAATATCGATTCGGTTATGTAAACGTTATCAATTTCATAGTTGTAACATCGATATCATTTTCACTTCCTAAAACAAAGATTAGGAGAATACCAACGTGGAACAACTGTGTAACAGCACTTGCAACTTGTCTTTACGTGAGACAGGTTATTTACAGTTATATTATCTCTTATTCTCGGGTCATATACCTGGTTGCAAACATGTGATAGCTTATCAATATGACAAGCGGAAATGCTTGTTCTGTTTGTTGGAGTTTTATGTCCTGTTAACAGCTATGGTCATTTAAGGACGATCCAGGTTTTGGCAGTGTAAGAAAACCGGAGTATCCGGAGAAAAATCACCGACCTGCGCCCAGTACCTGACGACTGAGAGGTGGAAATAAAGCTAGTGATCGATGACGGTCAAACACCTTATTATTTCGGCCAACGCGCCCCCTAACATACATATCATTAACCATATATAAACCTAGTATTTCCTACTATACAAAAGTCGTTACCAAAACGCATGTTTGTGGACTTAAGTTTCAAAATGTTTGATATTGCAGCAAGTTTGATTTAATTTTTTTATTCTATCTTGTACTTTTTTAGTTGTTTGGAGTTTTCATTGAAGAAAAGTCTGCATGGATTAAGGAAAGCTATATGCAATCCTTTATGGTTACTGTCGCAGTGTGTGGTATAAATTTGGGAAGCAAATCCAAATTCATGCCGCCACCTTTTGCTGAACGAGCTAAGTTGATAGGTGCAATGTTACAAATTTGAGGTATGGTTGGATGGCGCATTGGATAAAGCTCTCACTTTTCAACTGGAAAGCCAACATTCGATTTCCTTTTCGGACGTAAAATGGTATGTAGTCACCTGCCCGATCACGAGGATTTTTTCTTGTACTCGCGTTTACTTTCACATTAAGTCAACTGCAGCGCCAACAAGGTTGATTAATATTAATTGATAAGTCTAGTTACATAACTGCTGTAAAATATATAAAGTTTATAAATAAAAATACAAATTGTGATATATATATATTGAACAACTGTCCAAAACAGTTGTAAGTGGTTGACCCTATTATTTTATTAGGAACAGTTGATTGCGTTTTAAGTATTTGTACTTTATGCATGTACTAAATACTTTGCCTTCAAATGTTGTTTCTGTGTATTGTTTACGATATTCATGTTTTACTAGTATATTTATGAACCGGAAGTTCAACACAGATTAAAATCAGGGAAAACGAACTAATCTACATGATTATTCTCTAAATGATGTAATATCAAAAGTATAGCTTATATTTAGCGATCTTTTAAAGGACGGGGAAAACGGTTGGTCTCTAGTCTATATTCAAATCTTTAGATAACTTGCTTTCACTTGAAGTACGACTGTTATATCATCTTACTTTACTATTAATAAATGATATTTTGCGAAAACGGTTGTTTGATGAAGCTATATTATAACGAATGTAATAATATTGTATTTATATATATTTGAATACCCTTTTCTTTATATTTTTATCTTTACAGTCAGCCTCATAATCATACAACTTAAACATTACCATAAGTAAACTGTACTGAGTAAATAACGTTTTAATTGACCTTTCTTTTCGATGAATGACCACAATAGCTGCACAAGTGTTTAAATCATATGCATATGCATGAGTCGTCAAGAATATGAAAACTAAGTTTTTGACACAGGCTGGGATTGTACAAAAACGTTAGTTTTAAGTTAACATCATGTCGACAAAACTTCTTTTTAATTTGATTTGATCTAGATTTACATGGCGTGTGTCGTCTGTAAAAGCAGGGCATACTTATTATTTTGGAACACGTGGTCATGCTATGAACTTTAACACCTTCATGAATACCTGATCTTTGTCAATATCTTACCCTAGTCTATGAATCAAGGTTCAAAGCAAAATATTTCGATATTGTTATCCATTTTATTTTATTTTGTTTTTACATTGGATAAACAAGTCAAAACGTACATAATTTTTATAACACCTTTATTTCAAGGAAGACATGTCCTGTATTCACAACTAAAACAGATAGCCTGGTTGTTACATCTCTTTATGATGCGGGTTTTGACATAAACAACTCTTTAAATGTCGCACCAATATGCTTTTTTTTTTTTTATTAGAAACCAACCATATGTTCACTGCTTACAAATAATTGTTAAACATTTGACATTTTAAATAAATTCTATAAAAGTATTCATCATCTTTGACTAAAATCATGTATTAATTTGTTGGTAAATCAATCAGGTTTGTCTAAAATTGCAATTCAGAGATACAAACAAGTAAGCGTACTTATATCTAAGATAACACTTTTTCCCGCTCTTCACAGATGTGCCGGAAAAGATCAGCTTGTCACCCAATAGGGGGAGATAGCCTCATGCCGATATGCACTAGCAGAGCCTCGGGTTAGACAACCAAAAAACATCACCCCTCGGGTAGGGGATTTCTCTGTCACACCCTCAAAGTAGGGGAATATTCTATTAGTCATAAAATCAGACATTTTGGGACATAATTATAAAATTTAGAGTTTTTTTAACCGAATAGGACGGGAAAATGTTTGGTATTCACATCAATTCAAACAATTTTTTTATGGAAAAAACACTCAAATGGATTGGACACTAGTTCTGAAAACTTACTAGGCCCTATTCCGACAGTACCACACACAGTAACTAAAATATACAGTTGTGGGACCGCACAACGCACCAAAAATAGCGTGCGCACACCGTGCATACATCGTTCACACACCGTCCGCACATCGTCCACACATGGTGCGCACAACTGTGCGATTTAGTAATCGTTCGCCCCGTTGTGCGCTTCTCTCCGCACAACTGTGCGATTTGGTATCATTTGTAGATCAAAATTACGGAATGACAAAAATACGGAAGGCTTGTATGCGATAATGTACACTGTGTATATATCTGTAATTTCTCATCACAATAATCAAGATTATACAATTTCACAATGCGTGTTACACAGTATTACAGCGACCGTTAGGCTGTCAAGAACGGGTTTGGCTCCAAGGTAACAGAACAGGTAAATAACAATTTTATGAGTGTCCGGAGTTTTACCTGACCAGTGCCTGACACACAGAGCTGATATGCGATACCGTTTGACCGTAATGAATAGTATTTGTTATTTGCATTCGTTTGCCTATAGCTCCCCTTCACCTGGATTTTCACACCCCCGGCCTTACCCGACGAGTTACGTAAGTGCCCCAGGCGGGGAGAAAACTACGGTCCAGGTACATGTACAAAGTGGTTATGTTTACCTGTATACGGGATTGTGTTGTAATTTTACATGTGTCGATTAAGTTTGTTTTAAAACACAGAAAACACAATTTCTAAATATTAGAATGTATAGACAGAAAGATAAGTTTATAGATGTTGCTAGGATATAGAAGTATACGTAAACATCAAATTTATATGTTAAAAGACGAAACCGCCACAGGGGGCCTGTTATTCCTCAATTTACACCAACCACGATTGTTATCGCACAACGTCCGTTCATTTTGCGCACAGATGTGCGCAAGCAATGATCGTCCACCTTTTTATCGTTCGCCCATCGTGCACACACCGTTCACACACCGTGCACACATCGTGCGCACACCGCACATCGTGTAACATTGTGCGATCCCACAACTGTAACACGTGATGTTAAAAGGTTTAGCATATATGTATAGCCAATATACTACTTGACATAAAAATAAGGAAGGAGTGGGTGAAAATATGAAAGAAGGGACAGAAAGGGAAATCTTCTGGTCGCATTAGTTGTCCACTATTCGTTTCAAACCTCTTCGTTGATTTTATAAATGATTGCACAGCAAGTATAATGTTGACATTTGTTCTGAATGGAAGATCTGCATCTCCCCATATAAGAGTATGCAAATGGAGGACAAGTCGAATATCAATGTTTGAAACAATCCTATTCGAGAATTTGAAAATAATGCACAGACACAAAAATAATGACACGCATCTTAATTACCATCATCAGAATGACAGACAGGTGAGGCGCGAATGCCTACACGGAATAAATCAATTTTAAGACTTCTACATTTATGTTTAATTTGTGCTCAAAGAACCGAAAGGTATCGGTTACCGACGTTCAAATATTTCGGTAAACGCGTGGTACAGGTAATATTTCATATTGAGTGTAGAAGATGCTGACATCTTTTTTCAGGATGATCAAGTCGATTCGGTAAATTTATTATAAAAGATATAAATGTCTTTTTAAGAATATCTAAACAACAGCGTGGTATTTGATAGTTACGAAAATCACGATGAAGATCATTTCTTCTGAAAGGAAGCAAATTATGAAGATAATCTGGAACTAATCTATTATGAATCTTTAAAAAGAAGAAAGTTTACTTTTTCTCTCCTTGATGTGAAAGGTACCCATCCATTTTAAAAGTACAATGTCCCACAAGAGGCGACTATGGCTGCTTCTATTCACAGGTTTGACAAGAGGTAATCTGTACCGCTACAAGCTGATCAATTTTGCGTTTGAAGTTTGTGTCTGCTCAATTCTAATTTCTGTGTTCCTTTAAGAGTTTGTGCTCCTTTTTGTCTTTTTTTGTTTGAAAAGTTAGCACATTTGTTTCTATTTGACTCAATAACAGCACATTATGATGTGTTAATTGATTTAACAGTAATGCTTACTGTTTATATATCTTTTGGAGCTCTCCCTGGTACAGGCATTAAGTCAAGCATCACTTCTTCAGTTAGGGCACCTTCAGCAGTATCCTATAAAGCAGAAATGTTTATTCATACGTTAATAGGTCTTGGTACATTGTAAAAAAAACATGTATAAATATGATTAATTACGTAGGAAAAAAACATACGTTTAACTGGCGTATCGTGTATTACCATTTTCGAGAAGGTGTACATTTCTCCGATTGTATATGTAGCTAGAAATTTGAAATATGATAGAATTCCAGAAAGGGTTATTTAACAAAAAAATACTTAACAAAAATAGGTCTTGGGACATTGTAAGGCAAGTGTATGCATAAATATGATTTGTTACGTACTTAACAAATACGTTTAACTGGTGTTTCGTTTATTACCAATTTTAGGAGGTGTGCATTTCTCTGTTGTATATGTAAGCAGAAATTTGAAATGTGATAGAATTTCAGAAGGGCTATTTAACAAAACAAATACTAATGCCATAAGATACCAGTATAGTTATAGTGGATCAAATATATACGTTATTGCCTTGGAAGAGACATGTGTGATATCGCAGGAAAACATGATATAAAGCATATCATTATATATCAAGCAAAAATGCAATGCATCTGAAGACATACAATCTACATAAGAGTAGATAATACTTGATATATGCAGTGTTATTTTATATATACAAACTGCATTCAGACTAATTTCAAATAGGGATTGAGACACATTTGTCCAGTGTCATGCGGCAATGAACACAAATCGGTTACATAAGTATGTATGTAACCGATTTGCGTTAACACCGGCATGAACAATGATAAAATGCCGTTCAAGCCTTAACTCTACATTCCTTATTTTTAGTCATTATTGAATTATATATATTTTGGATACTGCTGTGTCAGCGTCGTCAGTGCAAATGATATTCATGGAACAGCCTTACGTCACGAAAATGCTTGCTTCTTATGTTTGTCTCATATCTTCGAGGCGCGGGAGAGGAAAATTCTAATTGACGATGATAAAATTGCGCACACAGCACTATGAACGCCATTTTTCTAGTAATGGTTATAATTTAACTTGTAGAGGAAATTAAAATGATTTCACTATGTGTAAAAGATATTTTGATTTATACGGTATACAGGGTAATACAGAAATACGCACTATATACAGGGAATTATTATGTCTACACAATTTTACAATATCTATGTGTTTATTACAATGTTTAACATACTTTTTCTGTGTCCGAATACTTGACTCCACATCGCATCTTCCGTTTGAATGTCTCAGGGATACAGCAACACAGATAATCACAAACGGGTACGACTAATGATGGGTCGACAGGCTTCCGATCTGTTATCCAAACAGTCACCAGTAGTTATCATAGAAATAGAAAAGTACACTGAATGAAAAATTATTTGCTTTTTGAAATGACAGTCTGGGTAACAATTATTAGATAATATATGCTTGGTCATATAGTCAAGATCACATGTTATAAAGTATTATGCTTTTCCAAATATAACTGGTTTTGCCCTTGTTTTACACTTCTTGAAATTATCAAAGGCGATACATATTTATTAACATCTAAGACATAAGACTTATATTCAGTATCTAATACAAGTCGTTTATCTGTGAATCTGAATAACTAAGATCCAGTTAATAATGATGTCACTTGGCATACTAGTTTCAGGTCACAGTCTCTCGTAAAAAATCAAATACATCGATATCAAACCAGGAAATGACATCTGAAAATCGTTGAAATAAGATAGGGCCAATATGCATGATTTAAACACATACATTACCGCACTTATATTACAAAGCTATCATCAACAATTTTACCTTATTCTTAATAAATCTACTTAAGCTATACATTTTGTCAGAATTGAAATATCTGTATAATTCATTAAATGAAAAATATGTTAATATCTTTATATTGAATTTACTAAGGGGCACTGTATTCAACATGAAACAATATTAAGTAGGGATTTTAATCATGAGAAACATTTGTTGATTGGCTATTTAGATACATGAGTCCTTTTTATAAAGACAATGTATCTTGTATATGTTTATTTATTGAGTATTATCAATAATGATATTGAAATTACCTTGCAAACGGCTGAAGAGAGATCCGACTGAGATAACCAATAGGATAGCTATGGGCAACAACCACTTATAGGACAGCGAGTAAAGTACATCCAGCCCTTGTCTATAAATAAACAGAAAATTCAGCTACCTACGTCATATTTTAGGTAGAGGTGTGTCACATACTTTACTGTGCTGAGATCTCCGAAGTTTGGTTTAAAAGCTTGAAAAATGATCACTGTGAAAATTCACAAATATCGTTTTACAATCAAAATGATGTGAGCTGATGCATTTCTTAAGACTAATAGTAACAAAAAAGTTATTTTATCAAAAGAGAAAGAGAAACTGTCTATGTCCTTCATTCTCTCTGAACTCACTTACGGTTCAAGTGGGTTATACGTTTGATTAGCTTCAGACATCATTTCTGTTCCGTTCATAATAGCAATCGGCATATTTTCGTTCACAGTTGTATTAGTAAACCGAGATGCATTGAGTGTTGGACAATTTGATGATGAAGCAGATTCAAGTTTTGGACTGACTCGTACCCCTGACGAAACCAGCTTCCCAAACGAGATCCATCCAACGAAGAGGACACTCACCAAGCCACCAATTAAACCGCCCTGTCAATACGGTGAATAGCAACACATCACCTTAAATTGTATACATTGTATGAAAATTACACAATCCTATATTAAGTTGAATTGACGTAACGTTTTATGTATTACCACATTTGGTAAAAACATGCCCAAAAGGTTTTTTTACGTGATTCGGTCAAATGATTACTTCATCGGTCTTCAGGGAGAAGAACAGGATTCAATTTCCGGTAAGATGAATATTTGTATAGATCAGTTGCAATAAGGAAAAAGCAAACGTCATCGTTTTGTGATACTGTATCTCAATAGGATTGCGTCATAAATTATGTCGCACAATCTGTGTTCCATTGAGAATGGCGTGATGAACTGAGTTCATAATTGCAAGATGAATGCTACATACATACGGGTGAATAATTTTCCACGGCAAGAAAATTATGAAAATTCTGTGTAATACAGGCAGAACAATGCAATCCTTTCGATATGATTTTTGAGGTTCAGCACTCGTACGAAGGATCGATAGATTATAAAACTAAAAGAAAAGAATTGTAATTAAAATCTTATCTTTATTTTCAATGATAATGACAATATAAATCAAACCTACCAATGCATTAGCCCTTGGTATAAACCACCCAAGTATAAATAAACCGCTGGTTGCACCCACCAAGCAAGATCCAGTTATTTCGAGAATCTTAAAACAAAAAATAATACATATATAAGTAAAACAAACGCAAGTACATTACCCATACTTAAGGCACAATAAGTTATATTCAAGAGAGATAAACCGAGGAAAAACACATGTGATTGCACAAATAATAATAGGTGATGGATACAGTATACCAAAAATGAATTACATGTACATCGCATCGTACAGCTTTTTTGTCATTCTATGACCCTCTTGGTAGCGGCCAACAAAGTAGGAAACTCGATTTGTTCTAAACCTCTTTAAAGACAGACAGGGAAGTGCAAAAACTCACTGACAATATTAATTGCACAAAAATTGAAAGAGCATTGATCTTTTCATTCAATAATGAGAAAAGTGTGAATGTAATAAAGTATGCCACTACTATTTTTTTTTTATCATTAACCAACAAAATACACCACGTTGTATTTTGAAAGATGACCGTAAAACACACATGAATGCACCCTTAAATAATAACCAAAGTGTTGATGAATAATATTTTGTATTTAAATGCCTTTGTTGATTCACTTAATATAAAACATAGAATGTGTTGGCATCATTTCGATCATATAAGGTGTATCATTTTTTACTATTGCATTCAGTATCCTTGTCCCACTGCACTGTAGTGTTATCCTTTATACAATAACATTCTCTTATCTTCTGTTTCGACAAAACTGTAGCATTATTAGACCTGTTCACCTTCGTTGAGCAGGTAGCTCGATCGGTTAGAGCAATGGTATTTCAATCTGCTGTTCATGGTTTAAATCCCGATCTAGCCCTGCTAATTTTACTTACTCTCAGATCACTGGATGATCATGTTTATGATTTATCAAAGCTATTATAGCTAAGCAGGATAAAACAAATTACCAATACTAATATTTTTGGCAGTGGTATGTTTAGGATTAAGATATTAGGTTTAAAAGTTCTACGTTTGCATTTGTTAATGAGCATTAATAAAACAGGTCCACTGTTATGATAAGTAAACTTACCATAGTGATATTTGCTCGGGTAACATACATACCCTTAAAATAGGTCCCTCGATATCAGATATACCAAAGGCTACTAGTAAAGCGAGTCCTCCAAACAGCAACACTGACAGATATCATACAATATTACAAGTGATGTAGATTTGAATTCGCATTTGCAGATTTTCATTGATAAACTATTCTGATTTCGAATTGATAAGGTAAGTAATATTTGTTAGTGTTACTTCATAACATCTCTAAATATATATATATATACTTTATTTATTTTACAGCAATTATAATACAAGCTTTTATAAATAATACTTATCACTCTTGCTAGCCCAAATGTGAGCGCGAGGGGGGAAGAAACCTACTTTTTCTATTGCATGTGTAAAGTGTGTTCTTGTATTTACTTGTAGGCAGCACGCAATCGCTAACTTTCAAATTAAATCAGACAATAAATAAATAAATAATCGATTCACCTGATAATTGTGTAACATATATTCCATGTCTTTCAGACATCGGCTTAGCATGAGGTTTGACGATATCTTCCCAGAAAATTGCTGACATAGAACTCAATAGAGATGACATGGTACTGCAAAACAAATCAAGATAGCAATGGTCAGACTGCTGACTAACATTGATCACGTTTACGAAATATTGACAATGAGAAATAGAAAATCATTATAAAAAGAATATACTATTTTGTACAGCAGTAATACATATAACAAAAAGATAAGCTCTTTTCATAGATTTTCCGACTGTAAACAACGTGAACAAAGGGAATACAATACAAAGAATGACGCATTGTAGTTTAACAAAGGGTCAGGTCAGGTGAAGACACGTATTGAATTAACAGGACAAATGTGCCTCTTCTTAGTTTAAGTCAAAACACTGCTTCAAACATTAATCATGGCAACCCTTTGTAGCAATGGAAACAAACGGGTCAATGTTATTGTAAGAAGCATTTAAAGTGACTTTCAACGTTACCGTCAAAATAGGACGTCACAGAAATATAACGTGAACACAAGTTGTCCACACTGTTAAATTATCGATTTATTCAATTTCAGGAGTATTTAGTATTAAAAGATTAAGCGTTAAATGTTTCAACTGTTTGTGTTGCTATTTGCCTCCATTTATGAAGGAAAATTGAAACCCCGAAGAAAGAAAATTAGTCAACGAATAATGTGAACCAACGGGACGTTTTGTATACAGTTCCCGAACCAACAGTGACTTTCCGGTGGGGATCTGTGCTATGCCACTTTGAGGAAAACATGAACTTCACAAAAATTGATACGTTACCTGAGTGACGCACTAAACAAGGATGCCAAGAAAAGTCCAGGTAGACATGGTGTATCATGAAATATGTCTTTCACCATTTTAGCCATTAACTGCAAAACGGAACGAAAGCATATTGTTTATTATATAAAGGTCTTTCAAAACTCGCATACAGTAAACGTACATCTTTTTGCGGTGTTTATATTTTAGCACTTTTCGTGCTTAAGACATTGGCTTATTAATGATTGCGCCAAATGAAGTATATGTATAACAAAATGTCTATTGCACATTTTTCGGGTGCACCAGTTCTGCTTAAATTTGTGTCCAATAACTTGTGTACTCTTACAGTAAAAGGTTAAAAGTAGTAAAAACGGAGACATACCAAAAGTCAATTTTACAAACCAAAAATTGAATCTCAGAGTCGAAAAAAACACAATACGAGAAGACATCCAAACAAGTGGAAAGTCGTAAAAACTTTTACTTTTTTTTTGTAATAGAATAACGAACGAACGATTGATATCCGGTTATCTATTACTGCGCCAGTTGAAGTATTTCTATGTAGTGTTCTATTGCACATATTGTGAGTTCACGAATTCTGTTAAAATTCAATAAATGCTAAATACGTGTCCAAGAAAATAATTACTTAGAACATATTCTAATCTTACTGATGAACAAATATCGTAATATTTTTGTATTGCTCAAAAATGAAAATATTAATTGTATTTTTTTTTATCTGCGTGCAATATACAAATCCCTGTCTCAAGAACAACCGTTTACCTGATTTGAGTTTCTTATTTGTTTAGATTCCATTGGATCACAACCCTTCACTTCATAATAAGCGAACGTGACTGCTCCTTCCATGACCGCCAGCCCAGATATAAACAGCGATAGTAAGGCCGAAATTAGAAACATTCTAAAAAATAATTTTGATAAATCAATTCAAATTGCATATCAATATAAGCGTACAAATCGAACTAGTTTGTGTTTATTGTCAATCATCAAAGATAAATTATCTATTTAAAAGTGCCATATCTGCATTGAGAATTGCTATTGGCACTATTGATTTGTTTTGATGTCGATATTCTAGCGTTTTTATCCTTATATCATAATCTAAAATACAAAGTTAGTTATATAACTGTATCAGAGTATCGAATTACATTGTTTGTTATAATTTTTTAATAAGAAAAAAAAATCAATATCTTGATTGCAACTGAGAGTAAACAAGATCGCTATTCAATGGAAAGGTAAAGAAAAACAATAACAGTATGTCAACATATATGTAAAAATATCCAAACTCAAATATTTATACGAATGGACAATACGTAGACATATCTGTCAAGACCCCTAACTCTCCAAGGACGAAAATCACACATAGGTAAACTTGAACAAAACTACTTTATATTTCTTGTTTTTAGTTTATGAAAAAAGGTGTTTAACTCTGCTGTTTGATTTCCGATGCCCGAGGTTAGACGTTACCTGTAGTTCAAATTTCTTCTGGCACAATTAATAAGATATATCAGTTTTAAGATTAATCTTTCTATCGTAGCAAAATGTGTAACACATACAACGTCATAAGGGACTTTATGGACACCTTTCCAATTTCGTTGAACATTTACAAATATTTCAGGACTTGTATTCATAAATTAACTATAGTGCAGCAGTATGTATACTTTGTTATGACAGTCTGTATAAATGACCCTATGGTGTAGCAATATGTATACTTTGTTATGACAGTCTGTATAAATGACCCTATAGTGCAGGAGTATGTATAATTTGTTATGACAGTCTGTATAAATGACTCTATAGTGCAGCAGATTGTATGCTTGGTTTGACAGTCTGTATAGGGAAACAAACTTATGAAATAAATGTGTCCTTACTTCGTATTTTAAGTAATTAAAACCCTATATAAATAAACGAAGGTTTTTATCCTGTGAACAAGGCCGAAAGTTATAACTTCATTATATTTTCATTAAATTTATCTGAAATGAAATATTATCATGTAATACTTGTATTAGGTATACACATGTGTATTTCTAATGCAATAAATAGTATTGTTACCACAAAGCCTGTTTTAGTGTTATGGAATAACAATTACATAAATAATCCCAAGTTACATAGATAAATTCATGATGAACATTTTGGTATCGATTGTTGTGAATTAACAATGTATTACTTCTTCGCTGTTGATACAGTCGGTGTTGCTTTGATCCTTTGATATGTTGCTTGAGTGAATGACCACGAGAACCCGTATATTATACCTCCAACAAAAAGACTCCAAAACGATTGACGTAATGTTGGATCAGGATCAAAACTGAAATAAGAAACGATACAAAACAAATTCCGGGTGTAATATCCCTGGGACGTGCTCACTTGTTCAGCAAGGTCGAGCGATGGGTGTCGGCCCGCACGTAACACTATTATGTATATCGATCAATTAAAACTTATATCAATACATTGTAGTTTAAAAACATCCATTCAAAAAATAAATCATTGATTTTATAACATTCCCATTTTTTTCCGGATACATTCAATTGGCAAGTGCTTTACATCGACCATGACTCCAAAAACCTTCGCAAGGTTTCGTGTGCTTCCTATAAATATTCAAATTGAAATTGCGAACAGTTTATCAGATTACTTTTCAAATCATAACTGTCTGTTGATGTAACAGTACAATCGTAACAACATTGGTGAAAGATGAACGTAACACACACATACGAAGGTGATTGTGTCTTAAATAATTATAATAGATACAGTATGCCAAAGTGGAAATACACTTCATCATACAACTGTTTCGTCTTTCTAGGATTGGTCGGTGGTGCTTCATGAAGGGGCAAAACCGATTTCCAAATTTTATATTTTAAAACAGCAGGGAAGTTGCGTAAAAAACTGAATTTTAAAATTTTCAAACTTCAGAGAAGAACTGGTTAGTTTCATATTAAATAATGAGTAAAGTGTTTATAGTATGAACCGTACCAAACCTAGCTTACAATAACGCCCCAGATATTAGACCGTTTCGTGTCTTTGAGAACCATCCCCTTAATAACTTTCCAGCAATTTTTGTATGAAGAAATCCTGTAGCTCTTCCTTTTCGCCGAATTATGACTCTTATCCTCTCTCAAGATGTTTTCCCAATTTTACAAATACGGATTTCTCCTTGATGCTTCTATTTTTTTTTTATTTTTTTTTTACAAATGCTTTGTCATTAACACGCAAATTAATTTTGAAGACAAAATCATAAAAAGAATTCTTCGAACATTTAACACAAATCATATAAACTGGAAGCTAGTCTAGTTTACTTACTCTAACATGTTGAGCCGTCCTTTCTCCTTGACTATGCTCCACGTGTTGACAACACCACCAGCTTCAATCGTACCCTGATTTGAAAGAGTTACTTTCATCAGTATCAGATAAAAACAATATTACTATTTTGTTTCCAAAGATTTATTCACCAGCTTTTCTAACCAAGAAATTGGGTCTCAAAAACCATATCGAAATATTTTTGGAAAATACGTTCTTTCAAAGGGAACTACCGTCTAGCATGAAATGGTATTTGACTGATGTCACCTACTGATGGAGATATCAGATGACGTTTTATCCTAATTGGCTCTATTATTCAGATAATTGCTCAGGTAAAACATTTTAGTTTTCATGTAACATTTCCTTAAAGAAATAAGACGATGAAAAGTAATGTGAATAATAACGGCAAGCCAACCATAGAGTTGAACACCTAATTTCACGATAGTTGTTAAAGTAAATATAATTTTCTCCTGACATAAAAAAGTTTTAATCAAATGTATTTTCTTTTATTTATTAAATGGCTAACACTATCGTTTCACTCGTGATAAAATAACTCTTCAGCTGTTTCACTCTACAGTATGCATTGTATTGTGTTATATTTCATAATTCAGGATACTATAAAAAAACAAGGCTATGAATTAATATAGCTTTAATGATACACTGTCAACCAAGGACATTACAAAATCATTGATCCTATGCTACCTGCATGTTTACCTCCATCATCTCTTGGATTTTTTAGGTGATATAATAATTTCATATCAGGAATTATTGACGAATATATAAAATATCACTTTCCAATAAACAACAATCATGTGATGAACGTAACATGAACGTACCATACCCACAGGCAACTGTAAAATTTGGTAATTGACATTATAAAAAAAGAATTAAAATCATTGCACCATGAAACTGTTTTGTCTTCCTTGTGACACATCCGAGTTGCCTTGGGCAAAAATGGCTGAAAATTCAGTTTGTCTAAACTATTTGTGAAACATAGGGGGATGTATGTGAACACTTTATTATATAAATTTCACAATAAAGAGAAGTATTGGTTAATTCATTATTAATATGAAGAGATACTGTATATTTGCACAAGTCACGCTTTTGCCATATTTCACATACTAACGTCATACATTGGTGTTATTGCTTAACTGATGTGACATTTCGATTGTGTCGTCACATTTAAGACGGGACGTCATATACTTGGCGTTGTTGAATACATTATATTTAAAAGAATGTCTTGGGTTATTAGGAAAACAAATTGGTTAGGTGGAAAATTATATTGAATTCATTTTCATCTTTTATGAAACGGAAACCTGTTATTTTTATTACCTTTATGAGAATGGCAAACATGCCACCAAATATTAAGACAGACTGGAAAACATCCGTCCAGATCACAGCCGTGAAACCTCCCTAAGAAGTAAAACAAGAAAAACAGAAAAGAAATATCTAACAGATCGAAGTAGGACGAGGGCGACATATAAATGCGAGGTTAAATACATACGGACATTTACAGTAGGTACAAATTGGTAAAAACAATGTAAAATTAATCAGACATGTGGGGAATAACCATACATAACCATATCACTTGTGTGATGTCCGTAATAGTGACAGAACATTATGGTCCCGTGCAAGTTTACTGAAAAAGTAAAAAATCACCGCGACGTGTTTGCACTTTTTAACAATGTCGTCTGAACATTCCTACGCATATTACACAACCAAATAATTTTCAATTAACATTAGATAGGTTCTGTCCAAGGCGCCATTTGATAATTGGCCCTTGTCTTCTTGTCTTGCCGTTTATTTACTCATCAACACCCTTTTGCAAAATCAAATATTTGAGTAGCATAAACAAATTAGGTGGAAAAGCCTTTTTGGGAACGATTTTAGAAATCTGTGTAGGTTTCACCCAATTTCATCATAGTGTGTTCATATAACCTCCCTTTATACTTTGATAATTACATGCTTATCTTACTGGAACCAAGGCAACAGAATGTTATCTATGAAATACAGTGACTATATTGCAAAAACACCTAATTTTACTTGTATAGATATATTCCACTCATCACTTACAACCATTGTATATATAACAACCACGCCCATCAAAGTGATAAGGGAGATCCACAACGGAATCCCTGCCACTGAAAGACAAAAATAAATCGCAGTTAAATAAAGGATAAACTACCGATATTTTGAAGATTTCATTTGTATATAGGGATTAAACAGAACTGTTATAAATGGTTTAAACTGGCGACGCTCCGCAATCTCAAACTTCCCAATATGAATTCATATAAGCTAAAACAACCAAAAGAAACGAGGATGTTTTAAGATATTTTTGAGCGTTTACTTCAAAGTCTGCGTCACTCCGCCGCGGATTGGTGACGTCAGGAATATTGAAAATAAGTCCGAATTACATTGACCTTTTGGCTCTACGCTATTGTTCAAGACGTCATGAATAATCAATTTCAGGACTTGTAAGTGTGAGTCGGGGTCATCGACGTCATTAGCAATCGTCATCTGTGCTTCATATGCAAATGAGAGATTAGCGGACTGTATGTCGTATTTATACCGTCGCAAATTATTTTGATTGACCAGTCAAATGCCGGGTTACATAGCAATTAAATTATAATATTACCTTATGTCTGTCAACTTAGAAACTGTGCCAGTAACCTGAATTCAGATCTATTTGAATCTCCTAATTGATACCCCTGCCTGCTTATGTAGTTCTCCTGTTGAGGATTGTGATCACTTCTTCAAAGGCAAATTCTCCTGAACTCCATTTCTGCTTTTAATGACATTATTCCATTAAATACTCAGACTTTTCTTTATGGATGTCAAAGACTCGATATCAATATGAACATGAGTATCTTGGAGATGGTTAAGAGATTCGTTAAAGATACAAGACGCTTTAACTAGATTACACTTACTTGTTTATCTCATGACTTTGCTGTATGGAATGATACCAGTACATAATTGTACTATGTGCTGTCCACCAGCATAATTTCAATTGCCATTTTTTGTAAAATCTAGTTTTTTTACAACCATTACCAAAAAAAAAAAAAAATGACATGCAGATATCAATATTCATGTACATAATATACATGTTTTATCATTACTTCAATTCAATATGATGTGTGTAAACTGTTTATAACTGTAAGGAGAGGGCGCTCATAGGCTTTGCCTGTTGCCCAATTCCTTTGTATCTAAGATCTGAACAATAAATATTATGAAATGTAATTAAATTATAATATAAAATAGACGAATATTAAAGGAGCATTATTAAATTTGTTCGTACTTTTGATATGGATACCTTGGAATGTATAAAGTAGACGTTATACCCGATTCAATTTGTCTGGTGTCTTTATACGACCCTTTGTCCCACAATTCACTCTGTTATATCATGCTATTAAAGTTACATTCAAACGTGAACGTAAGACACATACAGGTAATGTTTGATTTTGGTAATGGACAATATACGACTGTTCTGTTATTGTAGGACAACTCGCTCGCTGCTGCTGCTTTGAAACAAAGAAGTGGAAATCCAAATTAGTCTAACCATTTCATGAACAGAGTTGAAGTCTAGTTAAAACCCTTAATGTAATTTTTATTTACCTATTTCCAAAGTAACAGCTGGTACAAATACGACAGATCCAACGTAGTTCGCCTGTTATCAAATAAAAGAAACCACTACCTATATTTTTTTCATCTAAAACGGAATATAGAAATGTAAGTGATTTTAACAATAAAGGCATCAAGGCAAAAACAAAACAAAAAATAAAACAAAAAGCAAAACAAAAAACAGAAGAATGGCAATTGAGTGAGTGTTCTTATCAGCAGTTATGTATTACTGAAAATGTGGTTATGCAAATACTTTTCGGTGTGAAGAATAGATGAAGGCTTTTGAAAAATATGTCTTTATGCGTGTATTATCTACAATATACAGTTTATGTTCATGATCAGTTGAACTGGAGGATAACATAGCAATCATACCATACGAATATTAAGTAGGAACTTACCAGAGATAAAAGTCGAATTATTGTTGAAAACAATCTGAGTCCATGGGAACTGTAGCGAAGTTCGAAATACTAAAATGAGACATTCATATGTTTGTAATGACGTTCTGGTAATCAAATTACCCCCTAAATGTACGGCAATGAACGACAGATATGCACATGAATGTAAATTTCGATCAAAATCAACAGCTGCTTCGGAAAAGTCCAGGACGACTAGATAGAAAATATACCAGCTGTCAACGTTCCTAAAATACTGTTCAGATTGTTATTGCATTGTTTACGCATCCACTGAAGATCAAGATATGTGTCATTTACATACATTACAGGTTTCAGGGAATCTCTCTATGGTGTCTTGCTCACAACCATTCATATGGTCTATTTAGTCAGAAGGTACACATCCTTATTACAAATACATATTAAACAGAACAAAGTCTGCTCCGATCCAAAAAGTCTGAAGAGAAGTATGCCTGTGATTTCACTTAGGTACTGAAAGAAAATGATCTAAACTGAAGTTTTTTAACCTACCGAATTTACACTGTGATAAAATTTAATACCCCAAAAATGTTTGTGGATGTGACATGGACTGGTTTCAATTTGGAACGAATTATAAGCATGACTTATTATTACGAATCTCAGAAGATAATTGTTACTTCCTCTTTTACATCGTTTTCAAATGATGTTAAAAAAATTGCTGTTGAGAAAAAAATCCGTTGATACTAAATAACAGACACAGTTATTAAATCAATAAAACATTTAACAAAAAAAACCAAGAGATCCCATAGGACCAACTATCGTACCATCTACATAAGTTCTATGTCAGTTTGATCTTTTCTCTTCTTTACTCTTATCTGTTTGACCGAGTCATGTTAACAGTAAATACATCTTGAGACTTTCGATTTAAACTTAATACTGCTGTGTATAAAGACAACCTTCAAAGTGAGGTTTCGTTTCATATATGAAATACATAGAACCATTATTGCAATATGAGAAAGATATGTGAAATATTTCCTCGGAAATAGTGATAATATTCTTGAAATGTCAAAATCCAAGTTTACTGCAGCAAACT